AAAAAAAAGGAGTGAGGCAACCGGTTGGCAAAAGCAGAAGAAATCTTAGCAGAGACATGGACTAGATGTGTCTCAGTAGTACTTCAGCATCAGATGAGGGTGAAGGAAGCAACACACATCTGCTGCTGAGATTAATCAAGCGGTTCTGGATGCCAAAGGGCTTTCTAGTTTCCAAACTGCATTCTAGGCTCTGTGAAGCGAAACTTTTCCTGTATTCCCACAGCGCTCGGCCTTCTGGCTGAAATTCCTTCCTCTCTTATTTTCACAAAGCCCTACTGCTTGAGGTAGCTACAAGAATCTAACTAGTACACCATGTAAAGGAGTTTGGAATTTAATCTGGAAACATTAGAAAATCATAAAAGGGCTTCATATTTCCATTTTAGAAAGAGGACTCTGGGACTGGAGTGGAAATAAATTAAAAATGGGCTAGAGGTAGGAATTGTACATTGGAAACCAGTGAGGGGCGCCCATGTGGCTCAGTCGGTTAAGCGTCCCACTCTTGGTTTTGACTCAGGTTATGATCTTAGGGTTGTGAGACTGAGCCCTGAGTTGGGCTCTGCACCCAGGTGAGATTCTGCTTGAGATTCTTTCCCCCTTCTTCTCCTTCCCCACTCCGCCCCTCTCCCCACTCGCACGCACGCGTGCTCTCTTTCCCTCTCTAAAAAAATAAATAAATAAAATATTTAAACTGGTGAGAGATGATGATTGCCTGAGAATGGAGAAAATGGATGAATTGAAAGTTACAAAGGGGGATGAACAAACAATTTGATTCAGCTTAGATGCAGTAGATGAGGGAGCGGAAAGAGTCAAGTTTGATTCTTAGTTTCCTGATCTGGGAAACCAGATGGGAACTGGATGGATAGTGGCAACCAATTTCTTTCACTGAGAAAGATAATGTATGAAGAGGACCAACTCCTTTTTGGGGAGGAATGTAGGTGACAATGAGACTTCCAGGCAAGAATGTCTAATAAGCAGTGGGATATTCATGTCTGGATCTCACACTCTGGAGTTACAGGTTTGTGCATAAGGGCTTGATATCATGATTTTCAGAGATATTCCAGTAACTTTCTTGTTTTATTCCCATAGCATTAAATTCAGGAATGTATTTGGACATTAGACTAGAGAAGCTAAGAATAAAGGGTTTTTTCATGTCTGAATATTCTCTGTAGTGCACCTTAGCTATGATGTTGTATATTACGTAACTCTTGAGGTTGATGAGCTACCTTGAGATTGATGAGCTACCTTGCCCAAGTGAGATGGTCTCTAGAGAACACTGTGTACAGGACCAGTCTAGCTTTACATTTATAAGGGTAGGACCAGAAGGGGAAGTGAAGTTTCTAGAAGGTCTGATGTTATGTATTCCAGAAAGTCTGAATATTCAGAAGGTTTAGAAGCTTGCATTTTAATCTTAGCTGATATTGCAACCACATTCCTGTTGTAGTATTCTTGTTAATCTGGACATTCTATTGCTATTTGTCAATATGGAGATTATACAGGGTATTATCAGTAGGTTGGTAGTAATTGACACCAACAGTGTGCATACTAAGATCACTCCATGAGAATAAATTAAAAAGAAAAGAGAGCAAAAAATACAATTGGGGGAAATACTAATCTCTAAGGAGTAGGTAGAAGAGAGAAAAGTCTGAGAAGAGAGTAAGTGACTGATGGTGAAATCTGAGGGATTGAACAATAGAAAGATAAATTGAGTAATATTTGGATTTCACCATTAACTGAGACAGATATTTCAGAATGACATTAGACAAGTTTTCTTGTTACACGTGAATATACGCTTCTTATTTATTTAAAATACATTTTCTAAAAGATTTACAACAAAGGCTCAGAAAAGACCTGGGTTTCCTAGTTTTCACTAGAATGCTAAAACTTGTTGATAATTAAGTCTATTTAGAATTTAATAAAACATAGTGTGAGTAATGATCACTGAAGAGCTACCTATTTTATATATATATGAAGATATGTATATATAAATATATATAAATATAAAAGATTATCTATCTATCTATCTATATATAAAAGATTGACTTACTAGGTGGCTCCATGGCTCAATGGATAGATCATTGGACTTAGAAAACATTGGCTTAGTACTTAACGTGTGCTAAGCATTGTGCACTACCTGCAACATCTCATTTATACATTTATACATTAGAAATATAGCGTGAGGAAGGCACTTGGGTTTCCTTCTTTTAAAAATGTGGAAACTGGGGCACCCTGGTGGCTCAGTCAGTCAAGTGTTGGACTCTTGATTTCAGCTCAGGTCATGATCTCAGGGTTGTGAGATCGAGAGCCACGTCGTCAGGCTGAGCAGGCAGTCTGCTTGAGATTCTCTCTCTCCCTTTTCCTCTGCTCCTCCCCTCTACTTTCTCTCTCTCTCTTTCTTTTTCTCTCTCAAACAAATAAATCTTTAAAAAAATAAAGATGTGAGGGGCGCCTGGGTGGTTCAGTCGTTAAGCGGCTGCCTTCGGCTCAGGTCATGATCCCAGGGTCCTGGGATCGAGCCCCGCATCGGGCTCTCTGCTCAGCGGGTAGCCTGCTTCTCCCTCTCCCACTCCCCGTGCTTGTGTTCCCTCTCTCGCTGTCTCTATCTTATTAAATAAATAAATAAAATCTTAAAAAAAAAATAAATATGTGGAAACTGAAGATTAAAGAAATTAATTTTCTAGAGTCACCCAAGTAGTAACTAACAGGGCTGACATTCAACTTTAAAGGTTTTGACTTCAGAGCCTGAAGTCTAACTACTACCTGATAAGACTATGAAAGCATTACTCAAGGTAATAAAAGGTTAAATTAAGCAGGCATTTATTAATGTAATTTTCAATGAAGACAGATTATGTAGCTACAGAAGACCATTTCACACTTATACCAACATTTCTAGGTATACCACAAAATTTTGAAAGTACTTCCTGAGAGACTTGGGTACATTAATATGTATTTGAACAATTTGTTTTTGCTACTAAAAGAGAAATGATTCTGTTTTTCAGAATGCTAACTCCTGTGTTTAGCTGATTTCTTAACTTGTAGAATCAAAAATAATTTTTACCCCTGCTAACTTTAGTTTTGTCATAAAGCCATGCACTGTTTCTGTGGCAGTACAATTTCCCTGGGCATATGTATATAGAAAACTGTTTTTGTTTTTTAAAAAGAAATTTACAGAATACTGGTTATAGATAATTGCTACACCTTAAGAAAATTTTGGCTTTTCAAATCACTATCAGTATTACTTTTAATTAATGAATTCCAATTGCATTCTCTCAACTATATATAACAGAGATATAAGGGACTCTAAGAATGATGATTTTGAATCAATCATGCCAAAATTACTACTAATAAAAAAATTAAATTTCAAAAGAAAAATTGGTCACATAGGGAAAGGCACTGGGTGGAAGCTTGATGGTATGAGTCAATTATTAGAGGATTTTTTTTTTTTTTGAGGTGGGTGGGGGGAAGGGATAATTGGCTGACAGGCATTAAGGAGGGCACTTGACATAATGAGCACTGGGTGTTATATGCAAATGATGAATCACTAAATTCTACCCCTGAAACTAATAATACAGTACATGTTAACTAAATTGAATTTAAATAATTAAAAAAAAGAGCATCATTTTTAAAAGCTCCCTACGACTTCAAGACTAATATCTGCCACATATTCTACCTAAGCTTTTTTTTTCCCCTCTAAATTCACAGCTCTTAATACATAAAGCTTATACTATAGGAGTGGTCAAACTTCCCAAAGATGTCACAAATGATCCAAACTACTGTTTGGCACAAATGATCCAAACTACTGTTCTGAGAGCTCATTAACATCACCTGCTACCTTCATCCATCTTTGCTTTACTTCTTGTCAGATGGAAAAAAAAATTTAGTTTACAAAGTACTTGTTGTGCAAGGTCTTATTTCACAGCCAAAACTTGTTGCCCACTGACAATCTCACAGTCCACTGTCCTCCATCCTGCAAAGATGTCATCAGCTCAGTTGTCTGGAGGTGTTCATTTCTTCATCTCCTACCTCTACCCTGGTTCAGGCTTTCCCTCTACCTTTCTCTGCTTCCTACTCAGTAGCTGCAAGATGTCTTGGGCAAAAGCATACTGACCTGGATCTTCGAGAACCACAGATGATTTTTCTGTTTACTTTCGCTTCATATATAATTGCCTCCTAATGAAGACTTTTATAGCGGTTTCTTATTTGAGCACCAAAACTGTTTTTATTAGGATATTCATTCATTCATTCAAATATTTACTGATCATCTGCAATGTGCCAAACACTGTTCTAAGTGCTGGAGATACATGAGGGAACAAAACAGAGCTTAAAAAAAAAAAAAAATCCCAATGCTTCTGAAACTCATTTTAGCTGGGAGATTTGCGGTAAAAGGGGCGGGGCAGATCGCGCAGCGCCTGGCAGGTAAAAGGAGGAATTCTGACTTTTACTTAGGGCGAAATGGAAAGACAGTGGAGGGTTTGGAACAAAGGAGGGTTTGGAACAAACAAAATTTTACAGATCAGGGAAATAAATGACTACACTGCAGTAAACACCCGTATACTTCGTACAACTCTGTGGAGGAACTGCAATTTAGGTACTTAGGAGGGAAAAAATTAACAGGAGGTAGGCATTGACTTGGGGCTATTAGCCCAGGGATTTGAGGGGGCAGAAATGAAGAGGGACAAGACAGATGAAGATTAAGCCAAAAGGAAGCAAATTGTTTACACCGAAATACAATTTATTTCAAACATACGGCAAGAGATAGGCCAAGAGATACGTGGCTCCGTTCAGACAGCAGTCACCCTAAAAGAAAAGCAAATTTAGGTTAGGCAAACAGTGGCCCAAGTAGAGCTGGGGACAGCGGCTCGTCCCGGAACCGGGCATGCCCCGAAGGTGACCACGCCCCCGGCCCCGCCCCGCCTGCGGCTCACCGCCCCAGTTGGCCACGGCGGGGGCGGTGGCCGCGGTGCCCGGAAGTGCGGCTGACGTGTCCCGGCCGCGCTCGGAATTGTGGGCGACTCGGCTAATGGCGTCGGCGAGTCTGGAGGGCTTGGGGAGCGAGCGCTGAAGCTTTTTGCCAGGTTGGCTGGTGACGAACTGTGTGGCCGGATCCCGCGGCCGCGGGACGGACCTGCCCACCTTGTGGGCTCCTCGGCCGGAGCCGGCGGAGCCTAGCAGGGCGGGGCGACTGCGGGGGGCGCCTCGGATAGGAGACGCGAGAGTTGCGAGAAGGCTGCGGGGGGCGCTCGGGTACGCTCCGGGTTCGCAGCCCAGGCCGGGCCGAGCCCCGCGGAGCCCAGGCGGCGGGCTGCGGAAGGGCCAGGGACGCCAGGAGGGAACTGCCTGTCGCCCCAAGGAGCTGACAGTGCTGGAGTTCGTTTGCGCCGCTCAGATACTGAATTGTAGTTTGGTGGATCATGTCCGGCACCAACAGCCCCGAGGCGGTGAAAAAGCTGCTGGAGAATATGCAGAGCGATTTACGGGCCCTGTCCCTGGAATGCAAAAAGAAATTCCCACCTGTCAAAGAGGTAAGCTTTGGGCAACGTCGGGAGAAGGTACGGTGAGCATGTCTGGTCCTATTAGACCCAGTCCTTCACTTCCAAACTCCTGTCCTATCTAATTTTCATTTGGCCCTCACCTTTCCAGATTTACGAGTCGGTGGGTTGTACCATAAGCGCGTTTTATCGTTTCCTTTGAAGACGACTGGGGCGCTTTGATTTTGTCTACTCCTGGTCCTCAGCATTTAGGAGTGAACTTCGCGGAATGAGCCGATTCAGCTAATTCAGCTGGATGTATCTTATCCTCGCCTCTTCTGGCCTTTTTCAAACTTGGAACTAGCCAAGCCAGAATTGAAAAACTTAGGTTTGTTGTTTTTAAAAACGATTATCCATCGTTGTGGTAAAATCTCTGCTCCTTACGTTTATAGTATGTATCACTCAGTGGCAAGTAGTTTTCCTTCTTGTCTTGTGTCATGCAGCTTAACTTTATGTCAATACTATGAAGTATTAGTAAATTATGCAGTCACCTAACTTACGACAGATATTGAGGACCCACAGTAATCATGTTAAGCCTTGTTATCAGCAATAATGTAATGGGACGTTTGAGTTTAGAATTAAATTCAATACACCTTGGAATACATCAATACATATTAACCTCTTCAAGCTTCAGCTTTCTTTCATATGTAAATAGGGCTAAAGGGTGGATTTATTAGATTATGACGGGAAGTTGTCAGAGCAAAAAGGGTATTAAAGAGGCTTCAGTTAATAATATATGTAAATTCTCCAAATATTTCCTAAGTTGAAATTTTTAATTTAGTCACTATTGACCTTTTCTCTTAAGATGTCATTTTATTTTTCTTAAGCTTTTAAAGATCGCATCTCATTTTCCTTTCTCATACCTGAAATAAGACATTTCAGTGATATTTTTGTAAAAGCAATTATTTTTATTCCTATTTAATGTAGTTTGGTGTACCAGCAATTTCATTTACTATTTAGGGTTCACCAAAAGTTCACTAAGGAATTTTGGAATGTTTTCATGTTAATTTAAATGTTTTGCCTTTATTATTATAGAGATCTTACAATTAAAACTTATCCAATAAAGTTTGGATTTTAGGCTTCCAAGGAACTTTAACTTTTCTGTAAGGGCTTTTGGTCTCATCAGTCTTCAACAAACTCCATCTAGTGTTTCTTTAATAAAGTAAGCAAATATTACCCAATAGTAGAAACCTGATGTGCCACCCTTGGAAAGAGGACTGTCATAATATGTTTTATTTCAAATACTCAATAGCTTGTGATACAGATTTTCATTATTTTCTCTATATCCTGTTGGAAGTTTTAATAAGTAATTCTAAAGAATTAAGCATTTTTAAAGAATTTTAAAGAAGCAGGCTGTTCCAATTTTAAGAGAAATGCTCGTTTATAAAATGTCAAGTCCATTTTTTAATTTTAACAATAATTTATAGAACTGACTGTTCCCAGCTCTTATAATTTATATAGAGACTGGGATTTCTTGATATTACACATAAAGGCCTTTGTGGACTTGCTTGAGAATTTAATTGCCATTTATTACTTTTTTTTCTTTTGGAAAATGCATTCAGAATTCCAAACAGGTAACTTAAAAGTTTCTTTTCTTTTTTTTTTTTTTTAAGGTTTTATTTATTTATTTGACAGAGAGAGGGAGAGAGATTGAGAGCACAAGCAGAGGGAGCCGCAGGCAGAGCAGGCAGAGGGAGAAGCAGGCTTCCCGTTGAGCAGGGAGCCCGATGCGGGACTCGATCCCAGGACCCTGGGATCATGACCTGAGCCGAAGGCAGACGCTTATCCGACTGAGCCTCCCAGGCGTCCCATAATTTACAAAGTTCTAGAACTCAATCCATCTTATCTAGGAACGTTCAATAAACCTCATTAGCTTTTTTACTTGAACATAGGCCAAAGAGATACTTAGTGATTGCACCTACTCTCTGAGGTAATGACAAAAATAATTCTTGGCGTGATGATCTCTGATACATAATTTCCTACATAATACCTACTCCACAAGAATTTGTTGAATGTAAGAACTTTGACTCCTTAACCAGTGGCACTTCTAATATACTTATGGGCCCACTTAGGAATTGGAAAATGACCATTACTGTGTCACAAGTTTAAAACAAGAATGAATAATTAGTCTAAGAATGATGATTCTTTAGGAGGACCCTTGATTTTCAAGAAACATTTTGGTTGAATTAAATTTTTCCTGGTAAATTAATAGCAGTGCCAAATTTTGGCTTTTGTTCTCTAAGGAACTGGTATGTTTTTGTTTTATTTATTTTGGGGATGGGGAGAGGATGGTTCTTGGTATACCTTAAGGCAGAGCCTTCCTCAGTGTAAGAACCTTTTCCATCTGTGTACTGGTTTGCTAGTTAACATTCTCCCAGTATCTTCACAGTTATTACTTGAAAAATACTTATTCTGAACTACTTACAAAGGTACTCAAGAACTCAAAGCAGTACAGTGCTTTGGAAGGGATATCTCCTTCCCCAGTACCTTTTAAACGAGGTAGAATGAAGTGATACCTTTTATATTTAGTCTTTATTTTAAGTTTCTAGTAATTTCTACTTTTTGATCATGGTGCTTACAGAAGAAAAGAGTATTGGTAAAGGATAGTGCCTTATTTATTGCTCTTTACTTCTTATCTTTGGATTTTCTGCATGGCTTTCTCCATCTTAATTATTTCCATTTATAAATCTTCCTTTGCATATTAAATTGTTTTTTTTTTTATTTTTTTTAAAGCAGTTGAGATTTTTTTTTTTTAAGATTTTATTAATTTATTTGACAGAGAGAGACACAGCGAGAGAAGGAACACAAGCAGGGGAAGTGGGAGAGGGAGAAGCGGGCTTCCCGCGGAGCAGGGAGCCCGATGCGGGGTTTGATCCCAGGACCCTGGGATCATGACCTGAGCCGAAGGCAGCCGCCCAACCGACTGAGCCACCCAGGCACCCCTTAAATTGTTTTAATAGTGGCTATAATTTCATTGTCATTTTATAATAAAAGTAGTAATTCAATAGTAACAGCAATACATTCCTTCTCCTTGTATTACTGCTTATTTTTACAGCAGTGTAACTTTTTAGCACAAGTGTGCTAGCTAATTTGTTCTGGAATATTTGTATGAAAAATGTTTTCTTTGCTTTAAAAATTACTTTAAAGCTTTGCAAAATCATTTCTGTATAATTGAAATTCAGTGCCTTCAGAGGCAGTAATCTCTGAAGCTTTATGTTTATGTATTTAATGAATAAAACATTTTGGTCATTTTCTGTTTGCAGGCATTACTCTGGAAACAAATGAGGGGGATCTAACTGAGATTGGAAGTAAGCTCAGAAAGAATTTGTAATTCTTGAATTGAGCCTTAATAGGATGAGTAGAAGCTAGCCAAGAAGAAGGGGAGGGGGTCATACCAGGCAGAGGAAATAGCATATGTTTATATTCCATGTCAAATAAATTTCATGCTGGAGGTTATTGGGAGCCATTAAAGTTTTTTAAGAGAGGGAATAATATTAATTCATATTTTGTAACATTTTCCTTTTTTTTTTTTTAAGATTTTATTTATTTGAGAGAGAGAGGGAGAGAGAGAGCACATGCAGGTGGAGTGGGAGAAGCACTGTCAGCAGGGAGCCTGACAGTGGGGCTTGATCCCAGGACCCCGGGACCATGACATGACTGAGCCACCCAGGCGCCCTTTATTAACATTTTCATAACAGTATTGGTGGGAAGAATTAGAGGGGACTGAGATTGAGGCAAAGAGAGCAAATTTAAAAAATGAGGATTGCCTGCATGAAGGTAGCAGTAGAGGAAGACAGGAGGTTGCTTGCATTGTGGTGGGCATGTGTGAAAGAGAGAGCATGGATTAAAAAGAGACTTAACAGGTAAAATTACCAGGGCATGGTGACCTTCTATATAACGTAGAGAGAGAAATCTATGATGCCTTCCAGGTTCTGGCTTGGGAAACTGGATAGATCACTAAGAGAAGGAATATAAGAGGAGGCGATGTTTTTGGGTAAAATGAATAGTCCTGAATATAATTAGTTTAAGATTTATGTGTGGAACTGACCAGTAGGAGTTTGAAAATGATGGTTTGGTTCTTAAGGGGGAGGTCTAGAATTTCAGATTTAGAAGTGTCAGTTTATACATGATAGTAGAAACCATAGGAGTAGATAAAATGAGTCTGAAAGAGTGTATAGAATGAGAATATCAGGACCAAAGAAGGAACTTTGGGAAACAACAGCAATAAAGGGAAAGAGGTAGCTGGCCAACTAAGATTAAGGATATGGGAGAGAAAGGGAATACTTGTAGAGCAAGGTCCCTGAGAAAGCTGGAGTTTCAAGGGCATAAGTGATTGAACTCATTTTTTTTTTTTTTTTAAAGATTTTTTTATTTATTTATTTGAGACAGAGCGAATGAGCGACAGAGAGCATGAGAGGGAGGAGGAGGGTCAGAGGGAGAAGCAGACTCCCTGCCGAGCAGGGAGCCCGATGCGGGACTCGATCCCGGGACTCCAGGATCATGACCTGAGCCGAAGGCAGTTGCTTAACCAACTGAGCCACCCAGGCTCTCCTGATTGAACTCATTTTAAACCTGAGAAGGAACATATTTTCCTCTGACAGAGGAAGGGAAAAAGAAAAAATGAATTTGAATGTGATAAATTTGAATGAGGGATATTGTGGAGAGATGGGAAGTTGTGGACAGTTTGGCCTGTGACCTCTATTCCTGGTAAGGTAGGAAACAAGCTTATTGCTAGGAGTAATTAGTGATGAAAGGAGTGATGGGTAGAAAGTTTGAGGGGAGCAGTGGATCACTTTGGAGAAGTGTAGGAGAAATTGACTTGGGACACTTAAGAGTCTTGGCAGGAAAAGTGGTTAAAATGATGATAGATGGTGAGATCTATGTTGTATTCCTAAAGAAGGAAATCCAACAAAACTTTGGAAGAAGATGGAAGGGTTAAGGTACTAGCAGCACCAATTTAATCAAAGAGCAGTAGAGTTGAGGACTGGGAGAGCTAGAAGGATAGGGATTGAGACAGTAAGGGGATAATGGATTTAAGATTGCCAAGTTAGGCTGCCCTAGAGGATGATGAAGTCCAGGGAATGGGTGGTAGAAGAGGAAGGGAATGAAGATCATTTGAGTTGAGGCGGTCAGAATTAGGGTTTTGAATGGATTTTTCTCTCTCCTTTTTAATGAAGTGGAATCAGTAAGGGTGTAAATAATAAAAAAGTGCAAATAGTCTTCCCATGCCATGTCCTTTGTTTCCTCTTGTGTATTTGGGTTTGATAAGAGTTAGTTAAGAGGGATTTTTGCCTTAAAAAGCAAAAGTTCTTATAATAGAGTTCCTCA